ATAAGGTGTCCCTAGAGGATTGATTAATTTGGCTCCTACATCTCCCCCCATAGTTTCCAAGATAGGATGGGTGGAGAGAGACTTAAAGGGAAATATTATGAGTGCAATTTGTATTCTTAAAAAGTCTAGTAAATTCTTCATTTTGGGGTGGAATTTATTTCATTCCCTCTTCTACTATTGCTTACTTCTCTAAAAATAACCAAACCGAAACACAAATCCCCAAGAAAAAGCTACAGGATTAAATTGCTAAACTTTCAATAATAAGACCAACTTTAAGTTCTCCTATGCAGCCTTAATTACAAGCTCTTGTGCATATTCATTCTGATGCCACTACTCCTTCTGTAACTGAAAGCTGTATTTTGTACAGAGATCTTCCGCTTTTTTCTTTTAGCAACCTTGCAGAGAGAAGGAGAGCATTATTTAAGGACACAAAAGGAAGTGAGTGCACAGAGGGTTTCTTTCACTGTGTAGGGAAGTTGTGTGGTCACTAACAATGATGCAGTGCTGCTGAGATCCATGGTCCAGAACCTTTCCTGTCTTTGCCACAGATTCTTACTATTGCCTGAAGCAAATCAGTAACAATCTTACTAAACGTTGCTTGTGATACTATTACTTCCTGTCCTATTAGGCGCATAGGGAAGATCAGCCACGAATGTTTACCGGTGGCTCAAGAGAGCTCCCTACCTTATCCCCATCTCAGTACAGAGACTGAATGATACGCAGTGGGCAAGTTGTGCAAACACGATAAATAGCCAAAAAAGGCTGAACTTTCATCTCATGTCATGTTTGCCTTCACTTAACACTGAATAAGGCAGGCTCTAAGGATAAACAGTTTCCACAAATGTCATAAAACATTTTGTCAAAATGGAGACACAAAAGTTGTTGAATTAGCACCGGCTTTTCATAGCTTTGGCATCTCTGGAGTTGCAGCAAACCTCTTTGAACACAGAAAATCCTGTGACGTTTGCTGCACCAAATGCTTCTGTCACTAAAAGCAGCTTCAGTGTGCATGCATTGTGCAAAATGCCCAAAGCTGGCCACAGAACAACGGTGGAAAATTCTGTCTTTACATGGCCACTTTCTGGCAGTGGAACTATCAAAACAGTTTCTGTGCCTTCAGTAAGAACTCCCATGGATCCTTCTTCCTTGCCAGAGACCACCCACCACCGAAACTGAAACAGGCTGAGGAACACACTAGGGACAATAACTTTTGGGTTGTCATTGAATGTGCACTTTTTAATTCACAGCATATTCTTACAGTGGCCTAAAACTTAACAGGAATGGAAAGATAAATATGAAGCAACCAGAGCTGACTTTCTGCAGTTTCTGCCCAGGCAAATTATAGAGTCTATCCTACATTTTATCTTAAACTTTTATTTTTTTTTCAGTGTATGTAGCAAGAAAGAACAATTTGTGTGAAAGTCCCCATTCTGATTCGTTGGCCATTTGATACAGTGTGATAAGCAGTGCCATTTCTTGCAAATAAGACTCATGATTCAGCCAAAGAAACATTTTTTTTTATTTTCAGTGTAATAACATATTTTTCATCTGAATGAAAAATAGGTTATTTTCATCATTCAGATACAAGCTTTTGTATCTGAAAGTATTAGCAAAAGTCTCACTAAGAGCTAAACAAGATGCTTAACTGCTGTAGCATTTTAGAAACTTTTTAATGTAGACATATATTTCTGGAAAAGCAGTGCTGTATTCACATTCCCCTTTCACTGTAGAACTTTTTTTTTTTTTCCCTTGATGCATATTTACATAAAACATTTTTATTGAGCAGCGTGAGCCAAATCCTTGTTGATATATTTGGATCCAGTTCCTTGGTTTTGACACCCATCTAGTGGACATAACACAGTATCACAGGATGAAATTCCTGTCACAACAGCCATGTGCAAGCCTTACGTGTACTTGCAGTTATCTGGTGGTGCAAACCACAGGGCCTCTCCCAGTCGATGAAACTGTAGCTTTACCTAATAGACGTTTAAATTTAAAAAAAAAAAAAAAAAAAAAAAAAAAAAAAATCACTGTTTTATAATCTAACAGTGAAAAAATTCATTAGAAGCTTGCCTTAGTTTCTGACTGGGAGAAATAAGACTGGTAATAAAATATTCATGTCATGTCTACAAAATGTGGGTGAAGAAAATAAAACAAAACAAATTTGCAAACAAAATCATATGTTCCTTTCATCCAATAAAATACCTTTTAATCAGTTGAATAATTAAGTCCATTGTTAAAGAAATCAATTTAATAGTCACTCCTTATTCAAAATTCTCCTGCTGTGAGACAGACTTACATTTACCTGCTTTGATTTCTATCCCACTTTTACCTTTTCCTTTAGAGCTTTCAGACAAGCTTATATATATTTGAAATGATACTGCTATTGCAGACATTAGACATGGTTAGCACAGGAGTAAATAACTCTCTTATATTTTACCTAAAATTCCATGAAAGATCTGACCTCCTGCCCTCAACAGAAAAACAAAACATATAGACTGTGTGTTGATTACGAGTTTGTGTGTCCTTGCAGCTGTTGAAAAAGAAAATAATATTTTATTTAGGCAATGAAATATAAGTATTAGGAAGTTTGGATACAATGAATTCACAGATGTTCCAAACCCTTCATTGGTATTTTGCGTATTTTGTGCTAGAATACTCAGGAATTCAAACTCAAAAGGTATTGACTGCTAGTGAATAATAGTAGTCATGATAATAATAATGTCAATATTTTTATTAACTTATGGCACTACAAGCTGCAAATGATGTTTTATTGTAGTATTCATGCTATCTTGCCCTTTCCTATGTGTTTTTCAATATTTTTTTTGAGCAGATCTCACAATGATCACAAAGATGCAATGAATAGGGAAAATGAAAGGCAAAGAGAAGCTTTGTGTTGTCCAGGATCACCCAGCAGGCTGGTGGCAGAGCTCTTATTTGACATCTTAAATTTCGTTAGCTTGAGATTGATAATGCCATGTAGTAGAAGCAAATTTGAGGACACAGAAAAAGTATTCAAGCATGATAAAAAGAAATCAAATTTGGGAAGAATTATATGTGTTATGATTTACTGACAGTGAATTATTCTTTACAGTGAAAAGAAGATTAAATTGCTAAGCTCTCTTGAAGTTTAACACCATTTTCTGAATAGTTTTTTGGGAAAAAAAAAACAACAAAACAAAAACAAAACAAAACAAAAAAAACCAAACAAAACAAAACAAAAAAAACAATTTGCTTTTCTACATTCAAACTGTAAAAGGTGAATACAAAATAAATAATATGGTCTGAGAGCAGCAGAAAACTTGCAGTTCCAGGAATATGTGCAAAGTAACAATGAAACAATGAAATAAAACATGAAACCAAGGTCCATTCTCTGCCAGGCAATGTGAATCTCTCCCCAGATAGGCAGTATATATTTCTTTGATTAGTTCTTTTAACAAAGGAAAAAAGGCCATGGCAATGTGTCACTTCAGTAAAACGTTAAAGTGGCAACCTCACTGCAACCTCAAGTCAATGGCAGGTAACAGCAAGAAACAAGCTAATGCAGAAAGTAGCACATATCTGCTGTGACACCTGCACCAGGCTGAAGTCTAATCAACAGCTGACATGTACTGAATAGTCTCTCTTCCTCTGTCATTAGATATAATTGAAAACCAGTGGGTGTCTTTCACATGAACACTGATTCCAAGATTAGTACTTTAGATGGGTTCAATACAAATACATATTACGATGCTAACACTTCCCCATGTTTAAAAAGTCATGTGAAAGATCTTCTGTTCATCCCTCATTCCTAAATGCTTCAGCGGTATTATTTAGGTTCCCATCAGTATGGCAAATGAGCCCAAGCAGTTATATGCCAAGGTCTCATGTGCACCTCTCTTACTAAAACTGATCTTTTGATTTTATAGAGACACATCCGACTAGGGAAAGAAAAGTCATCTTCCACTTCTGGCTGGATCAAATGTGCTACATCCCATCAGATGGAGATGTAACCCTGCTAATCCACACATTAGTAACCTCTGAGCTTGCAGACCACACTACATTAAGTCTAAAAACAGAGCCACACTCTCCAAAAGGACTCCTTATGGTAGCAAAGGCAGCTGTCAGGCTGCTAAGCAACACAGGTTGCCATGAGCACATCCTCCCAGCACTGCCCACCCTACACTAGACTCCCATTCAAGGTGTTTGCACTGATTTTCAAGCCCTTTGTGGAAACGTCAAAGACTACGTGAAAGAGCATCTTCTCTCTCTTTTTTTTCCCTCACCCTTCTGCCTCTCATGATGGCAATGTTCCCTGGGAATGACAAGCCTGTTTACCACTCTTAATACCAAATACAATAGCTAGAAGTGCTGGATCTAAACTGTGTAGTTCAAAGACACGAATGGCCACAGAAGTCACTCTTCCTGGCAGTGAGCAAAGAACTAATTTCTTCAATCTGGTTATAAAGTAGCAACTCTAAAGTATGCACATGTGCCCAAGCACACACATACACCTTAATCCCACACCAGTGCTTTGTTTATTGGGATAAAACAAAATATATTATTGAAATATTTGGATAGTAATGAAATATTAAGGTTGGGTGCTCATTGACAAAAGAGCCCTCAACTGCCTCAACAATGGGAGACAGGATAATGAGGGTCCAGCTCAGGAGAGATGGGGCCTGAGGAAGAAAACAACGAAATATGATGTTTCCTTGGGTATAGACCTCAGGATACTCTACATGCAGAGAATCATAAGGCTTCCTGTATTCCTAATAGTGGGGGGTTTTAATCTACCAAATTTATTTTCCTTCAGACTTGTTCTTTTTGATTATCAGCAATTCTAAAGCATATTTCTTGTGTGCCTTGGGTTTGGGGTTAGCAGTGGACTTGACCAGGTCTTTTCTTCCCCATTATTATCAAGAAGCAATTACCTAGTGTTAAATTTGTCAGAAGAATGTTTATTACTTTCAAAATTCTTAAGTCAATAGCATAAATTTTTATCTCCTTTCCTTTTGCAGTTTCGATGTAGACAATGGTACATCATCGGGACGAAGTCCCTTGGATCCCATGACAAGCCCAGGATCGGGGCTAATTCTTCAGGCAAATTTTGTGCACAGTCAACGAAGGGAGTCCTTCCTTTACCGGTCAGACAGTGACTATGACCTATCTCCAAAGTCCATGTCCAGGAACTCCTCCATTGCCAGTGATATGTAAGTACATTACAAAATACTTAAGCCTGTGTTTTGTCCTCTGTCTTAAGATTTTCCCAGCCACAAGAAATATCTTTTAAAAATCAAAAGCAGTAATCACTTATGCTACTTAAGTAATGGATAATTGTTTATTTATTTAATGAAGCTTGTACTTGTTTCTGCAGTTTTCTGAAAGTAAGTATATCACAAAGTATATTACGGTGTACTTGATGTCTTTATGCACTTCATTAGCTTTGACAGAATAATGAAGACAGTCAGTACTAGTGTATCAAAACACTAAGGAGAACTCTGATTTCCTGACTATTAAGTTCTCTTCAAGTGAAGTGATATAAACTCAATTTCTGCTTCTTAATGTTCTTAAGAAAAAGATTCAATTTCTTTTCACCAGGTATTTTTAGAGTTTTAGAGAAAAGATTTACCAGCTGACAGAAATTAATAAATTAATGAGGGGCAAAAATTATTTCAAATGACCTTCTAACTAAAAGGCAAAAGTTTAACAAAAGGCCTTTGGAAAGTTAGTCTTTCACTCTCGCTGTTTTTCTGTGATGTATTTTCTGCTAGTGGATCATACTTTTCAAGTATGTATAGACCCCAGGTTGCATGCATAGTGGAAGTCAGATGCGAATCTCTGTTTATTTGTAGGACACTAAAAACATGTTAAATGTCCTAGCTTCTAGTAACTTCTAAGGAGTAGAAATTAAGAATAACTATATTTTTTTGTTTATTTGCTTTTTCCTCCAAATTTCTCTTTCAAGTAGATGTTTATGGTTAAATAATAAATCTCTAAAATAAAGGACCAGGCTTGTAATATTCCCCTAGGGAACAAGGAACTATGAAGCATTAAAAATACCTCATTAATATAAAGGCTGTTTTTTAATCAGGCAGAACTAAATCAATATGCTCTTTAAAAAATAACCAAGTACACACAACAAAGGAAAAAGATTTTCATAATAATGATTGAAATTTCACCTGATATATAACTTGCAGTAATTCTAACTGAACACTCCTATTTTCAGCTTACATATCATTTTTAATAATGTTGATTAGTCCATCTAATTATAGCTCTTTTTCTACATAAGTGATGAGATGAGAAAAATTCACGCCTTTACAGAGGGTTTGTGTAACGTCCATACCTCAGTTAAGCCCTGTAGATTGAAGTAGTTAGTGAGTTTTGTGCCCAGTGTGACCAAGTTTGGTTGAGACAAAATGAGCAAGAAAAAGACCAATCCATCTTGCCTTGTCATAAGGAAAACCACATTTTGCTTCCAAGTAGTGACCCCCTTCCAGCAAATCTTCCTGTGACTGATAACCTTTCTTTTAGATGGACAAGAGTCAATCTTTCAGTGTGACACCTGTGCCAGGATACCATTTGAAAAGCTTTTTACTGAGGGGGCCAGTCCAGGTCACTGTGTTGCTTATATGAGTCATTTCAATTAAGAATTCAGTTAGTGCTCCATCCTTAAATTCATAATCCACTTTTGCATTTCCTAGAATTCTGGGTAATATTTCAGGACATGGCAGTAAATTGGATAAACAATTGAATTACTGAAACACTAAGCACACTTTTTCCTTTGCATATTTGTAGCTATTCTTCCTTTCAGAGTTTTCATAAAACACATCTGCATATAGAATTTATTGGACCTCACATCTGGATAGATGTTCACAGTCTCCTGTCACAGAAGAGCTGTTGTACTAAGAAGATAAATATTTCTGCCATTGTTTGGGATGGGAGCACATTAGGAAACGTAAAAGGCAGGTTGTTTTTACTGTGGAATATTAATCACATGTCAGTAAACCTAATTTTAATAAGCTTTATTATATCACAGAAATGAAGTAAAGGCAAGGAATGAAAAAGGGGAAAGTTTAAAAAGCTAACATAGTGAGGAAAAAATATAAAGAAAAAAATACCACAAACCTCTATATATGCATTCAAGGAGAAACTGTATGTGCTTATGGAAAGGGTTTTTAAAATAGAGAAATCACTCTGAGGTGGAGGCTGGAAGAGTTGTCAGGGGAAGTATCACACAAATTTTAGATTACTCCTAAATTATCCTGTGTCCTATTTGCATTTGTATGCATACTTAATTTTAAATATTGCATGTTTCTTAAGCATGAGCAAAATATATTACAAAACATACACATACTGCAAGTTATGTAGGTGAATTAATTGTACATAACAGTTCAACCTAGAATCCCCTGAGTCTTCAGTACGTGAGCTACCAACTTCAATATTTCACTTTGTAAGGCAAAATAGGAAGCAAAAAGCATGCATCTTGAACTTGAAAGGAATATAGTATGAAGATTTCTGTCATCTCCATTACTCTCAAATAGTGTGCTTACACTAATACATTCCACTTCAGTAGCAGAAGATGAAACAGATACAAAATTTCAAGATTTTAAGTCAAATATGGAGGGTTGTGATAGAAGACAGCCAGTGGATGGCAGTGCTAACGTACTGAATTCATCATTCTGTCATTATTTATTATTTGTCTAGCTCCAGCCAAGGAAGGGAACACAGTCGTGCTCAGTTCTTTGCAAACCCAAGATGAAAAGATAAACTCTGCCACAAACAAGCTGAAGTCGAAGCATAAGATGACAATCAAGGAACTCATATAGTCAGATATTATCCCCAGGTGAAGGTGCAACATGAGTCCCTATGCCCAAAGTAGTAAACCTCACAGAGCAACCAAAAGGAGTTTCACTCAGTGAGTTGAGATAGAAAGTAGCAGAAACAAGGGCAGAAAAGGGGAAAGCTTTTTTAAAACCAGAGAGGCTAAAGTATATTTTAAAGCAAAAAGACAGATTAGCTGCAGAAAAGAATAAAACACAGGATGAGTGCAAAGCTGCTCAGATGAGAGAAGATTAGTAAAACAAATGTGGGTGCAGTTATGTCACCGAAAGAGGCAGAAAAAGCAGCTATATGGTAAGAACGGGAAAACAAATAAAAAGAAGGGGGAATGAGTAGCATATTTTTTCAATTATCTCTTGGAAGAAATAGCATGATCCTAGAGAGGAAAAAAAGCAAGATGTGGAGATGATATGAGATGAGAAAAAGCCATTCAAGATTGTGAACTGGAGAGGCAGGTGGTTTAGACAGGAAGATGCAAGGTTCAAGGCAATAGAGCACAGATACATTGTGAAGCCTGGCTATGGCATTTCCAGCAGAGAGATGAGGATGTGCAAGAGGAAGAGAAATGAATGAACAAGCCAGTGAGAATGAGTGAGCCAATATGAGGATTACAGGGCAGGATCTGTGATGAGAGACTGGAAAACAAGTTTAAAGGGAAGGAGAATAAAGAATGGAAAATAAAACAAAAGTCCCCAAAAGCACTGTTGCAACAAAGAATAAGAAGGGAACAGAAGCAAGCTGAAAGATGAGCAAAATCATCAGTGCTGTACTGGAAGAGTTGTTAGGTTTATGTTTGAAGATACCAGTGAAGCAGGGAGCTTTGTAGGTGTCTTGCAGAGGTAGCCTGTTTACTTAATACTCACCTGTTTGAACTGCTATTGTTGCTCAAAACTTGCAAATAGAGACAGAAGCAGAAGTGGTAACACTTCTTATGCCTTTCTTGCGAAGGGAATGTTATGACTCAGACTGGGAGTCATAAAAGTTCTGTGATCCTCTCTGGTTAAATTAAGGTGAAACAACACCAAAAGGCCAGTTAAAATGTTTTACTTGTGGTAGAAGCAACTTAAACTTGTAAAAGGATAGTAAGTGATGTGGTCTCTTATTGATAAATGTCGTGGTTTAAGCCTGATCGGCAGCCAACCCCCGCAGCTGGTCACCCTCCCTTCCCCCTCCCCGCCTGGGAATGGGGGAGGGGATTAGAGGGGTGAAGGGAGACTCGCAGGTTGAGATAAGAACAGTTTAATAATGGCAATAAAATGAAAACAATGACAACAATAGGAAAAAAAAAATATAAACAGGCAATGTACAGCGTAATTGCTGACCACCCGCTGACCAATCCCCAGCCCGTTCCCGGCCAGCGATCCCGAGATACGAAGATCCCACAATTGCGATCCCGGAAGCGAGAGAGAGAGAGAGAGAGAGAGAGAGAGCCCCTTCCCGACCACCCCTCCTCTATACAGTGAGCACGTCGTGCCATGATATGGAATATTTCACTGGCCAGTTTGGGTCAGGTGCTGTGGCCGTGCTCCCTCCCTGCTCCCTGTGCCCTGGCGCACGGGCAGGACGTGGGGAGTCGGAGAGTCCTTGAAGTCTCAGCAGCAGCTGAAAACATCAGTGTGCTACCAGCATTCTTCTCATACCAAAGGTAAATCCAAAACACAGTACTCATCTAGTCCCCTAAAAGTAATATTAACTTTATTTCAGCCCAAAACAGGGCAATAAATCTATCAGAAAGAAAATAAAGGAAAGAAAATTAAAGAAGAGTAAGAGTCAAAGTATCCAGATCACCATCCCAGGTTCCATTGTTGTCTCAGGTCTTGTAATCTTTGGTGGATGTGTGCACACAAGGCAAAGTTTTCTGTCACCTTTTAAGTTAATTTTATCAGCTTATTTGAATACTAGACAAAGAGAGGCAGGTATTCCGTGAACTCATTTCCATGAGAGACAATGGCAAGGTGGAGCATGGGTTCTGCATGTGCATTAAGGGGGGATGGGGTGTACCAACCCCTTTGTCCAATTGAGTCAGTGGTCGTCCTCCCCCCTACCACCTTTACTTTTTCCTCAGATCTTGCTTCGTGGATAATTGTCCAGTCTTTAGCTTATCAGTTTCCTAGCCCTTCTTCAAGGGTGCATTCATAAATTAAAGTATAGACATTAACCCAACATCTTTTTTTAGTCAATCTATGTTCCCCCCACTTTGGGGCTTATCTAAGGAATTTGGTAATACAGCTGCAAGGGAGTAAAGATGTGCATCCTTCAATACACTCTATGCGTCCTTGAGCACTGTTCCTTAGGCTAATCACAAAGGCCACACCTTGTTCTTGAGGCTTTCTGTGTTGATGAATGTTTGAGGCGTTAATTCATTCAGTTC